ACTTGCAAACTCTATTCTAATTGTGTGTCAGCTTTAATTCCCCTTCCTGCCTCTTCCCTGAGGATGCTGCAGCAGCACTTGTGGCTGCTGCCTGTTTGGGGAGATAACAGTGTCCTTCCCCTGGTGTTTAACTTGGGCTCTGAGGGCAGGTGTCCTGTGCCAGAGCAGGGGCATCTCCATTCCCTCTCCTGACAAAGAGCTCTGCTCAGCTGAAATCCCACTTTCCCCCCTCACCAGGGCTTTGCTGTAGATTATTCACAGCCCAAATGCTCCCTAACAACATTGAACTTCCAGCAGATGCTGCACTCAGTAAAATCAGAATTGTGTCATTTTAGCCCTTCACTCAGAGCTGAGAGGTTGGGAATGCTGAATAGTGAAACCTGAAAGTCAGGTGTTCTCAAAGGGTCCAGATGTAGTTTCCTCATGGAAAGCATTAGGAGCCATAGAACTAGAGAATCCTTAAAGTTCATCTATTTTAAAGTTCAAGGCAGGAACCAAGCTCCATCCAGCCTGGCCTTGGACACTTCCAGGGATCCAGGGGCAGCCACAGCTTCTCTGGGCTTCCCCATCCTCACAGCCAAGAATTGCTGAAAACCAAGCTTCTCCTAAAATCCTGTGATTATCTGGGGAAAAAAGGAACCCTGATCCCCCATGTGAATTTTTGTTTGTGTTGAGAGCAGCTGAAGGAGCTGGGAAAGGGGCTCAACCTGAAGGAAAGGAGGCTAAGAAGGAACCTTCTGACTGTGTACAACTCCCTGACAGGAGAGGTTTTTCCGCTTAAAGACATGTATCACCCCAAAGGAACCTGCAGCTATTATAAAAATGTTATGCTTTATAATTTGTATTGATCTGAGCTTTGAAGAATTGCTGACCTAGCCCCCGTGAATAAAAAACAAATGAATTATTCAAAGAGGCGAATCTTCCTGGTATTTGTGGAGAAAGGTCACCTACACACGGATTTTTTTTCCTACATGACGGATGAGGTCGTGCATTTTCTTTCACAAAAAGGTCTTATTTCTCTTGGGATTCTGCTGCTTGTGGGGACGAATCTTGACCAGGTTATTTCACATTAAATCAAATAAATAAATATATAAAGGGTATGAAATGTGCTGGTGGTGACTGAGTGGAAGCAAACCCATCCTGGCACTCAGCTCCCATGGTGGCACAGGGACATCTTTTGGAAATCCCATCTTCTGCACAGACCAAACCTCCCTGGAGCATCTGAAAACTACCAACAGAGTGACAAAATCAACACTAGCCCAGCTGACACCAGGACAGACCTTGAGCAGTGTCAGTGCTGGATGTGGTGTTCAGGCCAACTGGTACAGAAAGGAGATTCTGCCCCCATAGCTCGTGGCCTTGGTGGCTGCAAACATCCAACACTTCTTATCAGGAGGTGCCAGAGGCTGTGTGTGGGTCCAACATGCACATTTGGGAGGAGCATGTCAAAGAATGCTGCTGGTTTTATTGTTGGTTGAGAAAAATGTCCCGAAGAGATGTTACACGCACCAAAGCTTTGGGAGATCCCAGCTAAGCTGTATTTTGTGCATTTTTTTGGATCACATGCACAGGGAGAGACCCTTTCCCCCATCACTCATCTCTTCTTTACTCAGCCCTTTTCCCCTAATTAGCTCTTCTTCCTCCTTTCCCTTTTCCCTCACTTCCTCACCTTTCTCCCTCCTTCTCTTTCCTCCCCCTCGCTCTCATACCCCTTCACTCACACTCTTTCTGTCATCACTTTTCCCCATTCACCTTTTCCCCCTTGCAAACCTTTTCCCCTCATTGATCCCCACTCTTCACTCACCTCCTTCCCATCATCACTCCTTAATTTTCCCCATTCACCCCCTTTTTCCTCCTCTCACCCCTTCCCCCTCACTCACCCTCTTTCCCCCCTCACCTGCTCCATTTCCCTACAATTCCCTTTCCTCCTTCACCCATCCCATTCCGCTCTTTCACCCTCACTCGCCTCTTTCCCCTTAATTTCCCCCTTTCCCTCACATACCCCATTTCTGCTCACCCCTTTCCCCCTTTTAACCCTTTCTCCCCTCATGAATCCCCCTTTCCCTCCCCCATCCCTTTTCCCCCTCACTCACGTCCACACACCCCATTTCTGCTCACCCCTTTCCCCCTTTTAACCCTTTCCCCCCTCACGAATCCCCATTTCCTTCACCCATCCCTTTTCCCCCTCACTCCACTCACCTCCACACCGTCACTCCCCGTTTCCCCCCTCACCCACCCCCTTCTCCCCGCCATTTCCCCTGCCTCCCCTCACGCCCGTGCCCCGGCCGGGGCCGCGCGCTCCCCCCGGGCCGCTCCCCGCCCGGGCGGCCCCGCGCAGGCGCAGTGCCCCCATCCCCCGTCCCCACACAGGGGCGGGGGCGGCGCCTCCCGCCGTTCGCGGGCCGGGTGAGCCGCCGGAGAAAGGCGGCACCGGCACCGACCGGGCGGGCGCCCGCCCTCCGACCGTCCATCCATCCATCCATCCATCCAGGTACCGTCCGAGGGTGGGGGGTGCCCGCCGCGCTCGGCTCTGCGCGGACCGGCCGCGCCCGTGCCCCCCGCGGGGGTCGCGCCCGCCGGTGCCGCACGGCGCGCACCCGCAGCGCGGCCATCAGAGCCCTCAGACCCTCAGCCCGTCCCTTGCCTCACCCCACCCCGGCCCTCGGAGCTGCTCAGAGCCTCCACACCCCCCCGCCATCACAGCCCCCCGGCCTCTCGGAGCCCTCTCGCAGCGCTCGTGGCCGTCACACCCCCCGCAGCCCCGTCGCAGCCCTTCCAGCCCCACGGCCATCGCTGCCCCGCAGAACCCCGCACGCCGTCACAGCCCCCCGCAGCCCCCTGTGCTTCTCGGAGCCCCCCAGAGCCTGCGCCCCCCATCACCTCCACGGCCATCACCGCCCCTGAGACCCCCCAACCCCATGGCAGCCCCTTCAGAGTCGCTTTGCTCGCCCTTGGCCGCCCCTGCGGGTCGCGGAGCCCTGGAGCCCCCGCGGCCGGGCAGCCCGGGGCGAGGGGACCGTTACCCTCGGTGAGGCACCCGGATGTCTGCTCGGCAAACTCCGAATTATTGTCTCCGACCCGCTCACGGCTGCCGCCTTTTTGCCTTCTTCTAAACATGGTTTATTTCTTCCCCCCTCTCTTTCCCCCCCCCCCCCCCCCCCCCCCCCCCCCCCCACCGTTACACAATAAAATTAACTTTCACAGGTTTGTATCTCTTCCCCCGCATGTCTTTGCTGGGGTTTTTTTTCTGGGTGGTTTTTAGGCGTAGTGGTTGTGGGGAAAGACTGAGCGCTTTTCAGCTGCTCTTCCCCCTCAACGTGTGTTTTTTCCTCACGTGAGGTTTCTTTGAGGCTCCTCACCCTTGAAAGGGAGCCGATTTTTTGGGTGACAGATCTCCTTAATTCGCTTCCTTGAGCCACTGTTTTGCTTGGACAGTGGAACTCCTAGAACTCTCCATGGTGCATCCTCCGAGTTGCTGAGCTTTGGGATATGTCTGGGAATCACACTGCTCCCTTCTGAGACCTCTTTGGAAATCACACCGTGCAGTTACCCGAGAGGATCCTGTGGGTTTGTAGGAGTGGGAATCCGTGCGAGGAGCTTTTTGAAGCTGGCACATGGGTGGGAATGGGATTGCTTGGTAACTCCACAGTAAATTTCCTTTGCAGTGCTGCTTACAGGCACAGGTTTGGAATACGGGTGGAAGGTGTGCTCTGTTCACTCACAGCTCTTCCTAAGGACTGTTTGTGTTTATTTATTAACTCAAGTGGAAATTGAAAATGTATATCTCGCAGATAGAGGACCAAAATAATAATAAGAAGAAAAAATCAGCTAAAAAAACCCAACAAAACAAAATGTATTTTTAAAGAAATGTACCCAGCTATTGCTGTTACAAGTGCCTAATTAATAGAGAGATGCTGAGGTACCTATGGGGGTGTCTGTTTGTAACCTTGCTTTGTGTGACACTTGAGTTTTTGTGCTTTCCTTTGCCTGCTGGCACTTAAAAACAAATGACATTTTCAGGCAGAAGAGGGAGGGGGAAGACTATCCACAGCCACAGGAAGTCAGGGTTTGATTTCAGTTGTAACAAGTGCATCAGTTTTTAAACTTTGAATTGGCTGTATTGACTCACTCCCTCTTCTGTCAGTCAGTTTGCCCTCCTCCAAAACAGAGAGGATTTCTGACTTCAAACCCATTTTACTGCTCCGTGTACTGTTAATTAAGGGATTTTCAGTACCAGGGTTTTTCATGAAGAGTCAGTTTGGAAATGAATGTGCCCCGTGAAACTGAGAACTCACGTAAATCAGGTGGAGGGGGAAAGCAATGTTTGCTCATATTGTAAAACTAGTGTGAAATGCACTTTATGGTTTTTTGACTTAGTGGAGTATGTAATCTTAAGTTGGGATTTTTTTTTTATTTTTCCCTGTTTGCACCCCTCTCTTTTCAGTTGTAACAGGAAAATACACCAGTAAAAACGTTACTTAGTCTTTTTTTCATGTACCACAATACAGTAACTGCAGTTCCTGTTGTTGCTTTGGTATAAGGTGATACAGAAATCTTTCCAAGTTTTTTCTGTTTTTCCAGGATAAGCCTGGTAATGAACAAAGGATGTTTTCACCATTTTCTTGACGCTGTTGTTGTCTGACGTCAGCACCTTGTTAATGATGTTTCCTGACTTTGCTCCTTCAGTGCTTTTCCCAAGTATTTTGTTGGTAAACAGATGGAAACTAAACTATTGGTGAGGGATTAAATCAGCTTCCTTCTATTAAATTCACTGATTCAGAACAGGTGCACATCCTTGCAGTTCAAAAAGAGGAATCCGTGGGCTTTGCAATTTTCAACCCTAACTTCAGTCATTCTTTTTGGATTTGGATGACGTTCACACACCTTCCACCCCAGTGTTAATTAGCCGATGCTTATAAAAGCTAGAATTTTCGGTGTCTAATTCCATTTACCTAAAACTCTGGTGGATCTGTGCTGTGTTTGCTGTGCTTTGCAGTGGGACCAGGCGCCCTGGAGGATGGTGGTGCCCGGGAATGCCCCCCTGATCCAGCAGGACCCTGCTCTGGAGCCAGCCCTGGGCAGAGACGCCCCGGAGCACTCGGCCATGGGCCCGGGCACGGAGCCCCCCGAGGACGTGGGCCCGGAGGTGCGGAAGCTGCGGGAGCTGGTCCGGAGGCTGGAGCTGGACAATCAGCACGCCAGGAGCAGGAGCAGCAGGACCCTGCTGGGGACAAACGTGCCAGGGGACATCCGTGCTGGGGTGGGTAACCACGAGCCCGGCCTCAACGGGATGGAGATCAACAACAGCATCAACGCCATCACCGAGCAGCAGGAATTGCAGCTGATGGCGGATCTGCACAGCCAGCTGAGCAAGATGAGGCAGGAGGAAGGAGAGAACAACTTCAAAAGAGCCCTGGATGCCCCAATGCAATACAGCTGCAACAGTGCCCCCGAGGAGGTGTCTCCCAATGGGGAGCAGAGCCACAGCAATGGCCAGTGTCCCTCACCTCTGGATACAAGTGACAGCTCTGAGCTCCTGGGCAGCCTGCTCATGGCAGGGATCCACGCCCCGGCTGCAATCCATGAACAGAATCTTGGTGAAAAGGGTGCAGATCTAGAGGGGCTTCCCAGTCACGCGGATCTGGATGAAGTCAAAGTGTTAGAACTGGAAAACTGCCCTGAAGAGGAGGATTGCTGGTAGGTACCCCCAGGCCTGGGGGAGAGGGGCGTGCTGTGGTTAGGTGAGCAGTTCCTTTAAAGCTATAAACTGATTTCTGTACAGGACTTGGATTTTTAGCAGCAAAAATGCCGTTCTCATTAGTGACTGTTCTTATTTTTATGTCCATTGTGCCAAACCATTATTTTTTAAAAAATAAGTTTACCTGTAGGTGCTGTTTTTTCCCCTGCTTCCTTCCAGCCACTGCTGCAGCTTCCTTTCCCTCTAAGTTTATTTATATATAGCACATGCAGATGAATGAATAATGGAGCTTTTAAACCTTGAACACAACTGTCAAATACCATATTTTATTAACAGTTTTGTCAATAAGAATCCCTAGACCATCTGGAATTTGTGGCTTTTGCTAGGACCTGAGGAGATAAACCATTCCCAGCTCCTGAAGGCTGTTTCTTTCCAGTTAAGCACCTCTTTTGTTCAGAGACATGAACTGAACCAGATCAGTGATGTAATCCTTAACTGACCCGACTCTCTGGGACTCTCCCCTCCACCACCAGCCTTGTTTAGAACTTGTTTTATGAATCAGTAGATTAACAACCTTTGGGAGGGCAAGGGAAATGTAAAGTTAAAGGCTGATTCCAGCTCCTGCAATAACTGGGACTTGAGATTTTACCCTGAGCTGTTAATTTGTAAAACTTGGGAGGAAGAGCCTCAGGGCTCTGCAAATTGGGTTTCAAATTTGTGTAGCCAGATTAATCTGGCAGCAAGGACAGGGCTGCTGAACACAAACCAAACCTTCAGCTCCAAACATTCATTAGCTGTTAGAAGGGAAGGTAACGTTTTTGTTAATGGAGTGGAGCTCAATGAGGTCATGGCATTAGCTCCAGCTTGAATTTGAGGTTATATTTAAAACGTGATTTTTTTTTTTTTCCTTTGCAAGTGTACTTTTAAAACCCAAATACTGGTTCTAACTTGATCACGGGAACTCTTCAATATACCTAAACAGCATTTTGAGCAGATTTCTTATAAATAAATAAGGGAATATATTTAACAGGTTGAATATGGAAGACTAACTATTATTTCCGTGTTAATGGAAGCAGCCAGGTTTATATTGACATTTATAGAGCCTGTGGCAGGGGAGAGTTCTCAAATTCTATTGAGTCTCAGAGGCTGAGATTTACCCAGGCAGGGTAAATCAGTACCAGTGAAATCAGGAGAGATTCTGTGCCCAGGAGTTCTGTTCTTTGACCTTTCCTTCAGTTCACAGAGAGTTGGTGGCTGGTAAGGCCCTTCTTTCCCAGGTACCCTTCACTCTGCACCTTGTAGGATCCTTGTGGGTTTGTTTTCCCTGTTTTCTTGCCAGATTTGGTTGGAACAGGGCAATCTGTGACAAAGAGGCCCCTGAGGAGCTGGGTAAGGGTGGTGATCCAGAGCACTTTTGCAAGTGCTGTTTCCATAAATTATCTTTGATTGTGCTGCATCACTTCCATCTGTTCCCTTTTCCTCTTGTCAAACAAACCTGCTGAAGCAGGAAGCTGCTTTTAGTGGTGGCTTCTTGTTCTGAAAGTGGGGAATTAATCCTGTGTACAATCAATAGTGCCTGTGTTCACTGCCAAATATCCCAAACTGTCTCCATAAATGCAGCCCCTGCAGGTGTTTGTGCTTTCCCACAGCAAGAACCAGTAAACTGCTTGGAGGGGAGGGAGGGTTTTCTTAAAACAAGTAGGAAAAAAAAAACAAAAAACAACAAATACTCCTTAATTCTCTGTGAATTTAGGATCAGCTCTAACAAGGTGGCTTTGCTGATGGGGGAAGTACTTAGTGCTGCCTACATTGAACAAATCCAAAGGGACTAGCTGAGTGTACTGTGTATTTGCAATCATTTTTAAAATATTGTACATCCTTCTTCCCTGGAAGAAGGATGGAGTGGTCAGAGGGTTTCTTGCTGTTCTCTGCAGGTGCAGGTGGAGTCTCAATCCCTGCTCTATTTTGAAATGATTCTCTTTATTCAACTGGAAGTTGCAGAAGTTTCTGTGCAGCTCCCCTGGTTCAGCAGCTCCGAGGTTGTGTTTTGGAGCTGTGTTTGCAGCCACTGAGCTGTGTGAAACCCGAGGCAGAGCCCACTCCCAGCTGCTGTAACTCTGCCCTGGCCTGCCTGGCCTCTGCTGCTCCCTCAGCTCCCTTTCTCAAATAGCTGCTCAAAATTGTAAATATCCTAGAGACCAATCCCATGGAGCTGGGCTCTGGCACTGAGGAGCCCAGTGATGCTCACCTTGGACTCGAGCACAGGGCAGCTCCTGAGCTGTTTTGGGAAGACTTTCATCCAAATTCCCTCTCACCCAGGGAACAAACCCAGTCTGCTGCTGACAGCATTGCATTGGTTGTGTTCCCAGTGTTTGTCATTCTGGGGTTTTTCCATGAGGTGAGGAGACGAAGGAATCCCTGGCACTCAGGTGAATCCCTGAGTTGCTGCTCTCATTCCCAAACGTCTGTCTTAGCTGAAACTAGGTCATGCTGTCTTCTCCTCAGTGTTGTGTTGTCTCCTGCCTGAATCCGTGCTCAGCACAGCAAGTGGGGTGCCTGTGAATTGGTGTTTGTAGGGAGCAGGAGCGTGGCTTGCTCTCAGAAATGACACTGTGGGAGGTTCCTGGCTATGTGATTTCTCAGCCTTAGCTCTGTGTCCAGTGACCTTCTTCTATATTCATGGTTAAGTCTTTTAATTCAGTGTACTGGAGGAAATCATTGCTGCTTGTACCATCAGAGATAGGGAGAGAAATCCTGGAGAAGTTCCACCAAGTGAGGGTATGATGCTGCACGAAATCAAGGAATTTTACCAGTGCAGCACCTTGTGCCTCCAGCTTGAGGGAGAAGGTTACTTACAGAGTGTCTCTGTGTAATCCATTTATACCCTTCACAGGCTGTGTTGTAGCTTCCCTCTGATCTCTTCTGGTGACAGGGTGCTGCTGACAAGATCTACATGACTTGGAAACAGTGATTTGCAAGGTCTTGTTCTCTCAGACTGGTCATTTTATGAGGTGTTTTTACCACTGTTGCATTAAATAATGAACAGGTGACTTCAAACCTTTCTTGACTGGTTTGAGGAGGGTGTTACCTGTTTGTGCTGGGTGACATCTGCCCTGCTGGGACAGTCTCTGGGTACAGGAGCTGCTTCAGAAGGCAGTGCAGCTCTGTGGGAGTGTCCCCAGCACCTCCCTCCGGGCAGAGCTGAAAGGCAGGACCTGCCTGAGGTGACATCGCGTGCAGAGCTCAGCCTGGGAGGGGGAGCTGCCTCTGATGGCAGAGCCTGCCTTCCCCTGCCTCAGGTTGGGAACTGCTCCAGGCTGTGGCTCCTGTTCCTCACCTTTGTGTAGAATGAGGGGTGAGCAGGAAAATCCTCAGTGGCAGTGGCAGAGAGGTGGGGAGCAGGCTGGCCCTGCTGGCACGGGAGTGCTGGGTTGTGTGTGTGTGTGTGTGTGTGTGTGTGTGTGTGTGTGTGTGTGTGTGTGTTCACAGCATCACTGGAGCTGCACCCCAGCTGCCTTGTCATCGCTGTAAGGCTGCTGCCTGGGTCAGGAGATCCATTTAATGTGAGCTTTAGAGCTTCTCTGACTTGGGGACTGATTTTTGGTGTTTTGTTTGGCAGGATTAGTCCCTAAATTGACATGAGAAAGTGTCTTTGCAGTGTCATTTTTTCCTCTCTTTGCAATTTCTTGGGAATAAAGCTCAGACCTCTCCTTGGGCTAACAGCACAATGTTTTTGTGTGGAGTGTTCTCCACGGGATTTTTCCCATTTTCTCCTTTTATGTTTCTGTCATTTGAGAACCTGGATAGTATTGTTTCACTGTGGCTTTCTACTCCAGCCTTGTCTGTGTTAGGATTTCTGTTCAGCAGGAGTGTTTAGATTTGATATTAGCACAGCATAAAGCAGAGTACTAAATCTGGAAATCAACTCTCTGAAGTCTGATATGTAAAGGAAAGGAAAATGAATGTATTACCTGTTTGAGATCCATGCTTTGGAGAGGAATTTAGCTGCCCTTTAGCACTTGAAGGAGGTGTATCTCATAAGCCTGAATTGTTCTAAACACTTCCAGCTATTTGAGGACTCCTCCTCAAAGGTCTGCAAATCAGTGCAGTGTTTGCCATTTTTGGAGCTGCTGCAGACACTGGTGCCAAGTCCTTTGGAAGATGGATAATAACCCAAGCTGTGTCTTCAGAAATGGGCTTTGCTTTACGCTCAGTTTAATTTCCTAATGCACTGGTTCTAGAGCCTTCTGCAGCCTGAATTCTGCTCTTAGGATTTATAGATTTCTGTTGCAAATACTCTGCCTGAGCAGGATCTAAAATTCTCAAGCTTTCACTCTTAGACCTGCTCTGATCAGTTTCTCAGTGTGAGGGTGCTTTTTCTTGGTGCATTGTGCAAGTTGAGAAAGTTGCTGTGTTTCCTGCATTCTTGGGGTTTGGGTTTTTTTAAAGCAGGCATTTCAAAATCCAGCAGTAGTGGCCATTGACTCCTGTAAATCCTTCTGTGACATTGATTCCATAAGGGAAATAGTATCTCTGGAATATTCCTTGGTTTTAGTGCTCTTGATTATGTCAGAATAAAGTGCAGAGTGTATCATAAATTTATTTGTGAATGGCTACAACTTAATAGAAGAAAAAAATCCTTGTGCCACTGGGTCCTTACCACAGATGTTTGTCACAAAATACTCTGTTTTGTGGGGTAAACACAAATGTTAGTAAGCAGAAACTAAAGATACTTTATTATTGAAGGGTTTCCTCTCAGAAGCTGAAGAAAATCTCATTTGTATTTAATAATTTATACAACAAACCCTCGATACATCAAACTGGGAATATTTGCCCAAATGTTTACTTTGTGCATTTTGTATGAGGCCTTGTAATTATCTAAATAAACTATTTTCATTTGCAATTTGACAAAAGAAAACATTCAGAGACATTTAGAGAGAACACCCGAACTGCTGAGCTGGAGGAGCAAACTGCAGGGTAAGGTTTGGTCCTGAGCAGGGCTGTGTTCAGCTCTGCCTGACCCTGGGGTTCAGTGAACCTGTCAAATCAAATGGCCTCAGAAGCTGAAAGTACCAGAAAGAAAAATTCTGAGTGTTTTTAAACAAAGCCACAAGTTTTTAGCTTTTCACACCCCCCTTGTTCCAAAGTTTCAGCTCCCTGGCTGTGAGGCTGGGTTAAGTCAGCCTCTGGTGGGTGATTCTTGTCCCTGGACTTTCCTGAGCCTAGGAGAAGGTGACTTCTGGCTCTTAATATGTCTAGAGAAAGATTCACGTTCAAATACTTGAAGGGCTGATGCTTTTAGTTTAGTGCTGTGCCAGCACCTTTGGAGAAGTCATGGTGTGAGCCCTTCCCAAAGCTCCTACAGAAGGAAAATGGCAACCCTGGTGCTGTGAATTCAAACCAGAATTCCTTTTTTTTTTTTTTTTTTTTTTTTTTTATAAATTTTCTCTTTTTTTTTTTAGCTAAGTTGCCTGTCAGTGCTCTGAGGAGTTGAGCTGTGTTTGCTTAATTGGGTTTGGGGAAATTGTGAGAGCTTCTCTTGCCAATGGACTTGTCAGCAGAAAACATCAGAGTCCTGTCCTCTGGCAGAGCTCAGAGGACTCCACAGCTTTGCTCCATGTGGGAATGGCTCTGCCAAGCAACCAAGTGTTGCCATCCTCAGCTGGGATTCTCCTGATGGAAAAAGGGTGAGGAGCTGGGCAGAGCAACTGGAGCAGGGCAGGATTCTCTCCCTGAACCTGGAATATGTGCAGAGCAGCCTGCCCTGCCCTGAGGAGGCTGTTGGCCTCTTTTTTGTGTGATGGTTTTACTGCTCCTTTTGTGGTCTGAGCTGTACAATAAATCCAGGGAGAGGGAGCACTTTGCTTCCTGGGTTTGATTGGATTTGAGTGCTTGTAATGCTCATTTCTCTGTGGAGAAATGCAGCAGGATTGGCTGCAGGGTCTGCCCTGAGAGGTACCTTTGGAGACTCAGGAATATTTGCATTCATTCCTCAGCATTTATTTTGTCAACAACAAATTAGCCTTTGGATTTTTTTTATTTGCATTTGGGTTTGTGTGAAGCTTGGTGGGTGGGGGAAGCTCCTGTGTGAGTTGTGACTAAAGAGGCTGAGTCTGTTCCCTGAAAAAGATTGCTCTGGCCACAGGCAGGGCTGGCAAATCATGAGTGGTGTTTCAGGAGGCAAAAATTAGGGAATAATGTCCTTCTGCAGGTAACAAATAGTATTTTGAGAGCTGTTGCATGCAGTGGTGCTCCATCTCATAGCCCCAAAACCAGCCAGGTCCAGGGAGTGTTGCTTTCTGCATTCTCTGTTTTCCCTGCCTGGGTTAGGCTTAGGGTCAGGGCAGTAGGTCACGCAGGCCTGTACAATATTTTAAATATCCCAGCTGTTTATGTTCTGTCTTGGCCAGGTGTTGGTGTTACAGCCTGACAGCTGAGAGTCCCACAGTGTTTCTCTGTATTTTAAACCTAGGTTTTCAGGAATGAGTGGGATAATGACTGTCATTCCTGCTGATTTACAGCAGTTTTGTTGTGGAAATCAGCGTTTCATGGCTTGGATCTCAGCTGGCTGTGAGAGAATGAGTAACTGGAGCAGAAAGGCTCAGTGTACCTTGCTGCAGGAGTGGCAGAAGTTGGGGGAGAGAGGAGGAAGCAACTGAAGCACAGACAGACATTTCTTCAAATCTTAACTCCACCCCTATGGTTACTTTATGCTTAAATACTGGATTTTGGCCTGATGAAGGTGAAATCCTCTGGATGCGTCAGTGAGGCCAGCTTTGGGAACACCATAAATGCTCAGCTGTGGCTGTAGGGGTTTGCTGGTGACCAGGAGGGTTCTTTGTCACCTGGGAGCAGGTCCTGAGGTGAAGGAGCAGCAGGAGAGGGAGGTGCTGGTGGGAAAGCAGCACTTGTGTGATTGTTTGCATGGGAGAGCTCCTGGCTGGCCCAGGAGCTCCTGGAGCTGCTGCTGGGGATTTTCTGGCACAGAGGGAGCAGCTGAAGGCTGTGCCAGCAGCTCATCAGAGCCTCAGGAGAGGAGGAACCTGAGAGCCAAACCTGATGTCCACAAATCACAGAATCCCAGAAGGATTTGGGCTGCCTGGGGCCTTGAAGACCATCAGGTTCCAGAGGCAGGTCGAGGTCTCACTGCCTCTGCACCAGGGTGTTCTCCAAGTGACCTGCAAGAATTAAAACCAGTTTCACTTTAGGAAGTACAGAGGACTGATTTTTCTTTCCCCTTACAAGTTTTGAATGTGTTGCTGAACAGCAAAAACATTAAAAAATAGGGAACTGCTTTTTGCTTTTAAAAATTCAAATGTAGGATGTGTAAATAAAATACTTGAGTTGTTTTTATAGCAAAGGCTCTTCCAGCTCTGACCTTTCCTCAGAGGGATGTTCTGCTTTGGAAATCTGGTGAAATTGTTGCTTTCCACCCAATCCCTTGTAAATAATCCAGGAGTTTAAGATGATTAAATCTGTCTATCCATAAGGCTAATCCTGGGTGTCCATGCAAAGCAATGGAGGTGTCAGAGATGTGGCAGACACTCAGGCTGGAGGAGAATTTATCTGACATTACAGGGAAGATAAGCACAGCCTTCTGCCTGTCTGGGAATGTCTGAATCCTGCAGTGAAGGGGTTTATCCCTGGAATCTGGGAATGCACCTTCAGGTGTCTCAGAGCTGCTGGGAGGACACAGCTGTGAGGACACATCCAGAGGGTTTTAAACAAAACCCACAACTCCTGGAAGGAGATCACCCTGCAGCTCAAGTTAGGAGTGCCTCACACCCTCACTGCCTCTGAGATGGGGGAGGTTTTGGAAGAGGGGAGTAGAGGAAGAGACAGGTGGGTATTCCAACAACTTCATTTCCAGCAGTGTTGCAACAGCCTAGGATGGCACGTTGCCTTGCACAGCCTGTAGGTTTCTCTGTGAAGCCATAGAATTTTCCTGTTATGGCAGTAAACTTTCTTCCCGAGTCATAATATGAGATTTAAATCTCAGTTTTTAAATTTGGGTAACTTGGTTCCTGATGGGTACACTCTAGCAAATGCCACTTTGGTAGCTGTATGCTTTGAATTAATGAGTGTTTCTTCCTGTCTCCTTTGAATCCTTGCAAAGGCTCTATGTGTCTCCGAGGAAATCCATGGATGAGAAAACAGCCTCTCCTCTGAAGTGGTGCCGGCAGGTGCTGGATAACCCCAGCCCCGAGATTGAGGCTGCCTGCAGAACCCTCATCAACAGGCTGGACCAAGGTAGGGCAGCTGCAGCCTCTGCTGCTCTGGGGTCCCTTGCAAATCTCATTCTAAGCAGGAAAATTGAGCTTAGTGTTGGCAGGCTCTTGAATTTTTAAGTTTTGTTAATATTTAAACAGTTTTAAATGTAAGAAATGTGTAGAGGAAAAAATGTGCTGCTGGGGAGTGGGGAGAAGGCCATGGAAAACTGTTCTTGCAGCTTCTTTCTGAAGAACTGCTCCTGGTGCTGAGTGTTCCTAATGGTGCTGATTCCTCCTCTGGATATCCTACTGGATATTCCTGCTGGATCTTCCCAGCTGCTCTTACCTGGCTGAAAAAATTGTCTGCTGTTCAAAGCTTACAATAATGAAATATTAAACTTGAAGAAATTGTGTCACTTGGAAACCAGGTTTTTTTTCCATTTTATCATCTCCTAAAAGCACTTCCTGGTGGCTGTGGGCTGTGTTAATCCTGAGGGGAAATCCATGATTTCATCTGCCTGATGCAAAAACCTGGAATGTTGTGTGCAGTGGGTTCATCCCTGATCTCAGGCATTGTTCTGGGGCCTGGCTTTGGGGCTTTGCTTTTCCACCTGGGCTTTCAGTGGTGGAAGAGCTCTCACAACATGTGCAGTTCACAGGACAAAAATGATTTTTTTCTGCCCCTACCTCTGTCCTGCATCAGCTGCAGTGCACCTGGTGCATATCCTGCCTGTGTCAGTTCCAATGGCCCCCAGGTTTGTGTAAAATGGGCTGGAGGTCCTGACAGACCCTGAGGGGTTGGAAAGGAATCAGTAAATATTTTTTACCTTCTCTAGATTCCCTCTCATCCAGCTCTCCTGGTCAGGACTTGCTGCAGCTGCAGGTTTATTGCAGAGATGTGCTGCAGTCTCCACTACCCAGTTGGACTTGGGAACCCTCAGACACAAAAGCTGTGTTTGCAGAAGTGACACTTCTGAGAGAATCACTGATTGGAAGTTCAGGGATATCCTTGAGCTGCTGGGATCCAACTCCAGCTGCCTCCCCATGTTGGTGTCTGAGGGTTTGTCTCCATGGGAATGCAGAAATTCTGATTTCAGTTTAACAATTTGAGCCCTGTGGTTTGGAGTCTGAGGTCACTGCTTTGGTGGTTGGTCTGGGTTATTTTAATTTTCATTCTAACAGTGTTTGGCACTGCTTGAGATCTTGAGCTTAACCTTGGCATTCCTGACTGGAGATAACTGAATAGACTTTGTGAACAAACTTCATTTGCTTTCATAAACCATCTGTGCTTAGAAATTGGAATGAAATCTATTTGATACCCTGCTTTCTCTCTGAAATGTATCAGGCTTCAGTTGTACTTAGTCTGACCTGGTAATATTTGTGGGAGAAATAAAAAAAGAAAACTTAATATGGTGAATCTTCATTATATTCTTAGCTGATATTCTCACAATAGGGAGAACTGAGTTCTGTGGGCAGTTCAGCAGCCCTTTGAGTATCTCCAGATCATGGTGTGAGTAATTTCCTCAATGTTGTAGCTGCTCATTTCCACCTCCAGTAAAAGTGAGGGCACTTGGTTTTGCCACCTGCCTTATTTTGGTTCGTTTATTAACATGTGAGTGTGTGTGAGCTGAACAAATTTAATTCAAAGAGTTGTTTTTTATATGGGGTTGGCATAGTTTCTGTGGTTTAATACTGTCTTGTTTCCATCACAAAAATTCAGAATAACACACTTGTAACACAAAGTTCAGTGAGCTCTCTAAAATGAGGGGGCAGATAGTGATGGAAATAGTCATCCACCCAGCACTGGAACTTTTTGAAATGTATGGCTTCTTCAAAACTGAGCTTGTCAGGAGTTACTCGTGGAATTCTTCAGAAGGGACAGAAGCAGTTAAAGGACACGAGTGGGGGACTGGGCATTGCTGTGCTCAGCGTGGCAGGGAGCACCAAGTGCCTCTGCTGCAGAATTTAATTCTGGTTGATACCTCTGTATCTTGATCTTGCTCTCTGTTTCCAAAATAATTTGCTAACCTTTGTGGCTTTTTTGTATTTTTCCTTCTAGCCAGTAGATGGAAAAACCTGTATTGCAGCCCCCTGGCATCTCCCAGCGCACATAACCTGAATTCCGAGGCAGGCTCCTGTAGCAATGCACTAAACTCTCCTGGGCACCTCAAATCGACTAACAAAGCACTACTAACCTGTGGCAGCTCAGGTATGGCATGGCACTGCAGCACTGGGCTCTTGAAAATGCAAGGAGAGTTAGGGACTGGCACAGGGAAAAGTTCTCATGGCCACTTGTGGTGTTTTCCCCTTTTCATTTGCTCTCTTCCTCACCCAGGTTTCATTTGTGTGGGAGAAAACGTCCTTGCATTCTGTATGTCCTGTAGTTATTTCTTGGTTTGGGTTTCTCTACTTTTTCTCTCTCTGTATATATTTTTATAAATGGTACTAATTTTAAGTGGCTTAAAATAGAAAACACCTGTTGGGGCAAAAATATATCACTCTTGAATAATGTTGTAGTCTGTAGACGTGATCTTTATAGAGTCACTTGGATTCAGTTTTCTGGGGAGGGTTTCTCTTGGGAATATTGATTAATGCAGGGAACAAAAAGCTGCCAAAGTCTCCAGGGTAAAGCCTCCAATTGCCTGAGTGGGCAACTAAGACAAAATACTAAAAGTTTTCCTTTAGCCATAATCATGTGTGGAGAAGATTCCCTGCCTTAGAGGCAGCTCAGCCACAACTCTTGTTACAGTCTGATAATGAAGCTCCTCCAAAATGCTGTGGCCTGCGGCCTCCCTGTGCCTGAGGAGGCAGGAACACTCTTCCAGGAGCTCCATTTGTTATCCTTGCTGCAGTTCCTGCTGTTCCCAACACAAAGGCTTTCCCTCTTGGCTCTGTTATCAAAGAACTCTTCCTTATTTGTTTGTTTTGTGTGGAATTGCTAAACCCTACTTTGCATGTTCCAAAACACAAAGCATGTTTAACAGTCTCTGCCTCCAAACTTGATGTTAAATGAATTTTTTTCCCTCTGAAAAAAGAAGGGTTGCCTGTGGCTGTTTTCACAGGTGCAGGTCTGGTTTTGAGGTCTGTTTTTCTGCTATAAATAGAAATTAACACTTATCTCTGTTTTGCAAACAAAAGGATGCACGTAGGACTGAGGATTTTTGCCAGCTGAGCTCTGTAGGGAAACATCTCTAAGGCAATTTCTTATCTCTCAAATGAGGCTGGGGGGCAGTCCAGGTGTCTGGGAACCTTTTCACCCAGAAGCAGCTCCTGATGAGTAAAACCAAAGTGTCTTTGGCTTCTGCAAATGTTCTGGGTGGGAGGGCAGGGCCAGGACAGGCTCTGTCTTTTTGGAGCATCATGAGTTCACTTCATCTCAGGTGCCTCTTCCCTGTGCCTTGTGCAAGTGCTAAGATGAGTTTAAAGTTTCCTGTCAACCTGACTGACTCAAATCTTATTTCCAAGAAAAAACAGCTTTCATACCCTTCAAATGGAAAATGTTTAACAGTGACTTCCCTTGAAAACCAAACCAACCCCTTTGACAAAGCCCAGATGTGGTTTCTGTTTGAAAAACATCATCAGCTCAGCTTTACTGATGGAAGAAGGAGCAGTTTTTCCCCTTCCTTGGCTATTTTTAACTAGACCTTCAATCTGAAATGCAACAGCCAAATTAAACAAAGTTGGATTGGGAGTTTTGCCCTTTAGAAAGCTGATCTCAAGGTCCAGCTGGATTTTTAATCAATGTTGAAGGTGCTGTTAATTACAGCAGGAAACCTGTGCTTGTTCATTCCACCACATCCTACAGGTGCAAACCCTGCTCAGGATGGATTTATTTCAACTTTTACAGTCTTTTCCTGACTCGGAAGGAAAGAAATGGGATTTTATAATGGAATATCTTGACTTGGAGTATGTATTTGTGCAGCATAGACCCAGCTGCACCTTTAAGGTATAGCCACACTTCTGTCACTGTATTATTTCAGCATCCTGAAGCTCACAGTATTCCTGCCATGTTCTGAGAAGATCTGAAGGCAGGGCACCTCCTGAATACTCAACAGTGATGTTAAAATAAACCATTTGCCAGCAAAGCTGAGCAGCCCGTTCCAACTGTGATCAAACTTAGCCAGGCAGGAAAAAGCAGCAGGTTCCCAACATGATTTCTTCAACCAGCTTGGAAGAGAAGTAACTGCTGACATGGAAAACCCAGGTGTGAAGTTCAGGTGTAAAATGAATTTCTTACATGAGCACTGACCAAGCTGCTTCCTGCCAGTCAGCCTCACATTTCTTCTTTGAAAAGCACCTGAAAACAGCAGGTTAAAAACTGAGCATTGGAATTTCTAAATTTTTATTTCTCAGAGCTGGACCTGAAGTTCCCACCTGCACTGCTGAATTCCTGGGACAGATCCCTGCTGCTCTTGGTGGGCTTGTGAGTGTCTGACTGGGCTTGTGTCCCTCTCCCCCAGGGTACCTGAGCATGCACTCGGCCCTGAGCTCCCAGTCCTCGGTGGACAGCGAGCTGAGCACCTCGGATGACTCCATCTCCATGGGCTACAAACTGCAGGACCTCACTGATGTCCAGGTCATGGCACGGCTGCAGGAAGAAAGTAAGTTTTGTTTGTTTGTTTTGGGCAGTTGGGTTTTTTTGGGGGGGTTTTATTTGGTTTGGTTTTGTTGTTTTTTTGGGTATTCTTTAAGTTGCTTATATATTGTCAGGCAGGAAAACTTCAATAAAGGCATAGGCTGGTGAGGAGCTGTAAATAACCCAGGTGCCACTCAGGCAGGTGTGTTTTCATGGGGGACAGACTTGAAGTCTTTGTTTCCAGCTTTGAAATGCTGGTGGGTGCAGAGTGAATTAAACTAAAAGATTTAACCTCTAAATGAGACTCCCATACCTGTAAATTAGACTCCTAATATCTACTTAATCTGTTGAAGCTTGGTAGCAATGTTCACAATCTCAGGTGAGATTAGGGAGCACTGCAGGTCCCCTGAATGCTAATTGTGCTGTAATTAAGCAGTGCTGATGCAGGTGATGCTGTTCCTGACGATGGATTCCGGGGAGAACAGGTGTTAACCTGACTCTCCTTCCAGTGTGAAACAAATCCCTACCAAAGCATTGCTTTGGGATTTGGGGTGTGTTGCTGGAATTCGTGTCCTCCGTGTCCCCAGGCCTGCGGCAGGACTGCGCCTCCAGCTCCGCCTCCGTGTCCCGCCGCAGCTCCAGCGCCTCCCTGCACTCGCTGCGCCGCGGCACCTACAGCGACCAGGAATTCGACACCTACAGCCTGGAGGACGAGGACGACTGCGACTGCTCGCTGTCCTTGCGCAGCGCCCACCGCTACTCGCCGTCCCCGCTGAGCTCCCCGCGCTGCCAGTCGCCCTCGTCGGGCGCGGAGCTGGGCAGGGCCGCGGCGTCGCGGCTGCGCGCCCCGCGCAGGGCGGTGCAGAGCCCCATGCAGGAGCGCCTCAAGTACGCCAACAGCGAAGGTAAGGGCGATCTGAGCCAGGGAAGAGGCTTCTGGCACACACGGATCCCCCTGCAGGCTCTGGGCTTGGGGGCCTGCAGTGCTGCTGGGCAGGAAGGGAGCTGGCGGTGCTGGGTGTGGGCCAGCGCGTGCCCAGGGGTCAAGGCCAAGGGACACAGGGGCTGGACGGAGTGTAGGATGGCCACAGGACCATGGTAGGGATTGTTCCCAGTGCTGGGCACACCTCGAGTGCTGTGTGGAGTTCTGAGCCACTCACTGCAAAAAGGACATTGAGAGGCTGAAGTGTGGCCAGAGAATGGAGTGGGCTGGAGCACCAGAAGTGGCTGAGAGAGCTGCAGTAGTTCAATCTGGAGAAGAGCAGGCTCAGAGGAGACCTTACTGCTCTCTGCAACTCCTGACAGGAGGGTGCAGCCAGGTGGGCGTTGGTCTCTTCTGCCCTGTCCCAAGTGAAAGGACAAAGAGGAAATGCCTCAAGTTGCACCAGGGGAGCTCCAGATTAGGTGTTAGAAACAATTGGTTCCCCGAAGAAGTGGTCAGGCCTTGGAATGAGTTGCCCAGGGAGGTGGTGGAGTCACAATCTCTGTGTGGCTTAGGGGTGATCATGGTGGTGCTGAGTTGATGGGATGGTCTTGAAGGTCTCTTCCAACCTCCTTATCCTGTGATTTCAAAATCACTGCTGTTTACTGGAAGCTACGAACCAGCTACAGACTGCTCTGCTTTTAAGTGCATGGGATTTTCCAGAGAGCCTTTTAGCAGCAGCAGCAGGGGCTGAGGCTGTGTTTGCTTTCAGAGGAGCTGAGGCACAGCATGCCCAACCTGGCCCGCAGCAGCCTGCGTGCGCTCGAGGCCGTGCGGAGCAGCCGCAGCCTGGAGTCTGACCTGCAGGTGCCCAGCAGCCGCATCCCCAGGACTCAGCAGCGGTCAGCAGGTCAGTGCCACACCTCCCACATGCTTCCATTCCCTTCTCCCCTTAGCCAGCCCTCAGAGGTGCTCTTGTGTCCCTGCAGGTCTGACTCCCAGCAAGCTCAGGTATTCCTCGGGGGCCGCGCAGTCCCAGCTCACGGGGCGCCAGCCCGGGAAGGTGGCCCCGGGAGCCAGCTCCCTGCTGCCCGGCAGGCAGGTGGGGAAGCCCTGCAGCTACACGGCTCCTGTCCCCCCAGTCCGCAAGCCACAGCTCCACACGGGCACTCCCAGCAGCAGTTGCACTTCCAGGACCACCACCATGGTCACTGTGGCCAAACCCTCTGCCCTGAAAGCACGGCCGGGTGTGGCAGGGGTGGCCGTGCCCAAGGGAAAGGCAACGCCCCCATCCAGGAGGTGAGTGGGGCTTCAGACCTCTTTGGCATTGTGGTAACTTCATGGCATGTTTGGTGGGAGAAAGCAGAGCATGGGGGTGGTGTCACAACACTTACAGTTTTTGTTCTTGTTGCTTGTTTTTTAACTGTTGTGCTACAATTCATTATTGAGGGAAATTAAATTGATCCAGATATATGACATGACTTATATCAGACTAGTAAGCAACCAGTGCTTGTTAATCTTTTTTGTCCCATTGGAGCCTTACTTTGAAATGTATCTACTTACTTTAAAAATGTTCTTTTTCATGTTTCTAATCTCCTAATTGATACCATACTCTACATGCCTGATTATTTTTCATGTGTTCAATTATATTTTTATGGAAAAATATTTCTTTTGGACTCAGTCATGGGCTGAAGTCACAAAAGTGTTAATTTAGCAGATACCAGTGTTTAAGCATCCAGTAACAGCCACTGAATTTCCTTAAAGTGCCTCAAGTTGGTGTTTGTTGATGCTCAGGGTGTGACAGCAGCACTTCACCCATGGCAGGGGGATGTTGGTAACCCAAACCCCAAACCTGTGTCCATTACAGGGCTTTTCCTAGAGCTGTCCCTGATGTGTTGTTTTGTCCCCCCCAGGTTGCTCCAGGCAGCACAGACCCCCCAGGCCCCCGAGGATGACTCCTGGAAGGATGGGTGCTACTGACAGCCCAGAACACCTCTGTGGAGCAGATCCCAGCTGGCTGGGCATGACCTCACTGGAAAAGGCCCTGAGCCCCTGTCCCTGCAGACTGCTGTACATATCCCTCATTCTGTGCTCTCCACACCTCCCACCTCCCTCTGCTCTGCCAGGAGCTGGGGCTCACAGCTCCCACCCTCCACTGAAACCTGAGTCTTCCCAGGAAGACTGGAAAAGCCTTATTTCATCCACACCCCAGCTGCAGCCCTGGGGAAGGTCTGTCACCATCCCCTCCCAGGGATGCTGCAGGGCTGGGGGTGTCCTCTCTGTGCCAGAAGCAGCTCTGAGCTGGTGCTGTGGCAGAGCTCGTAGAGAGTAGAAACAGTGACATAGGTGTTAGATTTGAGAGTTTTTAAACCCAACCTGATGTACTCTAATATTTGTCTGGAATTCAACTGGGTTTGGTTTGTTGGTTTTTTTTACTTCTGTATAGAATGTATTTCTGCTACTTTTTATTGTTTGGTCTAGAGCTGCAGCAGGTTTTTATAACTGTAGAACACTGAGCTGTTGTATCCAGGTGTCAGCACAGGTCATGAGGAGCAGTACACAATATTTGTGTGGGGTGTGAACAGGCAGGGACAGGGACACCACTTAAAAACTGCTGGGCACCAGCACCTTACCTCAGCTGAGCGAGCTCAACACCACTTAAGAGAAAACTTTTAAAAAATCCCCTTCCCTCACAGCTTTGTCTTGAAGTGTTGGAGGATCTCAGCTGGTTCCCAACTGCCCTGACTTTTGTAGAAGTTTTCTACTGTCTCTTAGGGATTCTGTTCCAGTGTCCTTTTCCTCAGCAAGTGCTGGATGCTACAAATACAGTCTTAGTCCAGGAAATATGCACTGATAGCAATGTTCTCCCTGCCATCAATGTGACTTTGATAGTGTAGTTTAATAAAATGTTATGGTGCTGAAATGAATTTGCTTTATTCCAACAGTGAGTTTTGTGCCACGAATGAGGCTTCTCCTGACAGAAGAGAGCTCTGCGAGGACAAACAGGGCTCCAATAAAGTCTGGTAGGGTGCAAGGAGTGAGATTTACCTTTAATTCCTCAGAGATCAGAAGGACAAGGCACTCAGTGTGTGCAATTTCTGAAGCATCCGCATGTGGCCTGAGCAGAACCAAAGGCAGGAAGCACCACAGGGGAAGTTCCTGCACCACAGGGATCTCTTGTGATCCAGGAAAAGAGGAAGGGACAGTTTGCCCACAGTGCTGTGAGGGGCCCAGGAGTGTTCTGTGCCAGCACCCAGCCTCTGCCAGGCCAGGGCTGGCACCAGCAGCACTCACAGGGCAGAGAAGGGGCCCGGGAGCCTCAGCTGGAGCTGCAGCTTTGTCCCTGGCTGTCACTCCCACCCTGATAAAGCTCCACGAGGTCCCAGCACTGCCCTGTTGAGGCTCTCCCCTCATCCAGAACATTCTTTTCTGAGACCTCTCCCTGCTGGCACAGCTGGACCCTGCTCACATTGATCTTCCCAGGGCACAGAAAGGTAAAAGAGTAGCAACGTGTCTGATTTCTCTATTACTGGAGAGCTCTGTTGCCTTTCCTGTGCCCCATATCCCAAAGGGGATTTTCCAGGCACTACCTTCCTCCACCCACCTGAGTCAAGAGCTGCTGCTCTTCCATGGACATGCAATAGCAGGTTGAAGAACAGAAACTTCTGAAAATGTCAGATATTAACTAGCTGAAGGCTACATCCTCAGGCAGGTGGGATTGTTTCCACGTTTTCCAGCCTAGCTGGCTGTGGAGATGCAGCTAGATACAGTTCCAGGCTGAACAGAGCAGCAGGAAGGTGCTGAGGTTGGATTTTGCTGGGATTCCCAGGTGTTTCCAGTACAAACCTGATGCTGACAGGCACTTGGGAGAGGCTGTCCCACTTCAGCAGGGAACAGAGCACAGCTCTGACAGAACCATCACACTCAGAGCAGTTAATTTAATTTTAACCTTTTGTTTTTCTGAGCTGTTCTCACACCAAGTGATCTCACTTCAGTTCCCAGTATTCTCTATCATCCATGTCCTGGCTGATACCATTAAAATGCCGTTTTGCCTCAAACTGAGATAACAATCAACAACTTCCAACAATTTCTGCAAGTCCAAGAGGAAATCCAACTCCCTCATCCCGAAGCATGAGCCTGCTTCCAAAACCTCCCCCTGCATCAGCATGGAGCATTCCCAAGGTAGGTGTTCCACAGAACTATGGAACTCTCTGTACAGGAATTTTATTGAAATCAAGGTAATGGTTTTTTACACTAATGCCTCAGTGCATCCTTGAGAAGGAAAGGAAGGGTTTTCTTTAAAAATTGTTTGTACATATGACAAGAAATCATCCAAATGAACATTGTAACAGCACGATCCCTAAAACATGCACAGCTGGACCTGGGGCTGCAGGGAGTGGGCTCCAACTTTACATTCAGAACAGAAGGAGAAGCAGTTGCCAGTGGCCACTGGCACTTTGTGGATATCAAGATCCAATCACCCTTGGTGAAATTTCAGCCTAGCAGAAGACACATCCAAAGGAGCTACTGTTCATGGGAGACTGTGACTCTTTACCTGGCCCTGCTGGGAAGCTCCATGGTCAGTGCCACAAGGGACGGAGCAGCAGAGCCACCTCCCCACCCTGCCAGTGTCACCAGGACCTCGGGACACCAACTTTGTGCTCCAGCTCAGACACCAAAAGAAGCCTCCCCTTCCATCCCTCGACTTCCCTGGGCCAAAAGCAGATTCCTTCCCCCCTGAAGTGTGTTTCCATTTTTTCTGTGGCAAAGGAGCCCCCTCAGCTCCAGGACAGAAGTGCCCCCAGCCCTTTCCCAGGCCCCAGCAACTCCAGCTCCTCAGCCAGGCCTGGCTTGGGATGGAGATGTGCAGCTGGCACAGAAACAGCACCCCTGAGCCTGCATTTGGTTACCAGCCTTAGGTTTGGTTTGAAATCCTCCCAGAGGAGAACGTTCATCCTCTGGCAGAGCCTTTCTCTCTCAGACCTTGGAGAAAGTCACCAGCCACCAACTCCACCCCTTCTCTGTCCTCCAGTTTCAGTGCATACCTTCCAGGAGAAGCACAAGCAGCAGCTCCCTGATACCTCAGCAAACCAGATTGGCCCCAAATTCACCGTAGCCAGTGCCAGAATTTTACTCATTGCAGTCCACCCTCCAAAGAAGAGCAGGAGAAATCATCTGTGAGGAAGGAGATCCTGAACCGTGTGCAACCAGCCCTGTTGCTGTGTCCATTCAGCCACCAGCCCAGGGGGAGATGAGGAAGAAGTGAGGATGAAGAGGCAGCCATTGCACACGCTGAGGTGACCCCACACCCTCCTCCTGCCTGCAGGATCACTGCAGGAACAGGGAGATGTCCCCAGCAGCAGCACCTCCACCTGTGAGTACACAAAGCCCAGACCCCATTTGTTCCTACCAGGGTGACACCGTGACCTCCCTATGGTGCAGCACAGGGAGCCACCAGATGTGGCCAGATGTGCAGGAGAGGCTCTGTGGGACCCCAAGCCCACCTGTCCCTGTTAGTTTGGCTTCTCTGTGGGACAGCTCCATCCCAGGTGGGAGAGCTGCAGTCACTCCTGTCCCCACCCAGAGGAAGCCACACGGACACGGGGCCAGCATGCACAGAACTTTCTGCAGGGGTGGCATTGGGACAGCAAAAGGAACACAAAAATCCTTTCAAGTAATTAACCCAGCCCGCTCTTGAGGTCACAGCTGTGGGAGCAGCGACCAGCTGGGTCTGTCTGGGTGATAAGGCAAAAAGTCTGAAGTCCTGGAGGGATTGGGAGGTGGAAGGTGGCAGTGGTGACAGGTGGGAGTCACTCTGGAGGTTCCTTCTTCACACTCTGCCTCATCTCCTGGTGAGCAGCTCCAGTTACTTCTGCACACAGTGGGGCCAGGCCAGCCCGCCACATATGACCGACAGGATGATGTACAGGATCACCTGGGGGGGGAATTAGGGATTCCCAGCAGTTACTGACTGCCACAGCACAGACCTGGAAACCCCAGATGGTCAAAGTCTTGAAGAACATGTCTAACACCCTGCTGTCCCTCCATACCCCTGCAGCTGAGAAGTGTCCCCATGGAGGTGACAAAGTGCTTCCCACCCTGACCCTGCAGTTGCTCCATCCACAGTCCTCACAGCTGGAGAGGAAGCGTCACACCAAAAAAAGCCACTTCAGAGTCACAAAACGAGATCCCACCAGGACTGAGAACTCAAAAGTCATCCCAGCCCAAGCAAGGCACCTCAGCTGCTCCTGGGGCAAGCAGGGGCAGCTCCTGGCCATGGTGCTCCCATCTCCTCTCAGAGGGTGACAAAGGTTGAAGAAGACCTCCATGATCATCAAATCCAACCTTTGATCAAATCTCCCTGTGTCTCTTAAACCATCTCACAACATGCCACATCCACTCATTTTCTGAACACCTCCATGGTGACCCCAGCACTGCCCTGGGCTTCATCTCTCTCAGGGAAGGAATTTTTCCTAATATCCAACCTGAATCCCCCCAATGCAACCTGACCCCATCTCCCCACTTGCTTGGGAGAAGAGGCCAATTCCCACCCCATCACAACCTCCTTCCAGGTAGTCGTAGAGCCAGAAGGTCCCTCCAAGCCTCCTCTTCTCCAGGCTGAGCCCCCCCAGCCACTCCCTGCAGTAATGATTGCCCAGGCCCTTCACCCTCTCCCCACACAAGCCCCTCAGGCAGAGCTGGGCACACAGAGATCCCAGGACAGTGACAGGGGTTTGGAGTTTCCAGGGGTTCAGCCTGGCACAGCAGCTCCAGGCTCCACACTCACAATGGACACGATGATGATGACGATGGTGAGCTTGAGGTTCTTCATACACATGGCTCGGGCAAGGTTCCTGCTGGTGGTTTTGAAAGTGACTGACTGCAAAAGAAAACAAGGGAAATCCCAGGATGGATTGGGCTGGAAGAGACCTAAAACTCATTCAGTGCCACCCCCTGCCATGGAAGGGACACCTTCCACAATCTCAGGCTGCTCCAAGCCCCAGTGTCCAGCCTGGCTTGGACTCTGCCAGGGATCCAGGGGCAGCCACAGCTGCTCTGGGTAACCTGTTATGGAAAGCTTGTGGTTGTCCTATCCCAAGTGTCCCTGCAATTCCATGCATCCAAAATAGGGTTTGGACACCAAATGACCCCAAACCACCCCCCCCCCCCACGGCTAGGTCAGTGCAGCCATTCCCACACAGCTCAGGCAGGATGCACCTGCCCCTGGAAGCAGCCATTCCAGCAGCTCATTCCACTGGGCAGTGCCAGCTTTTCCTACCAATCACCCTCCATGAGGCTGCAGCAGGCAGGAGCCACAGCCCTGGGAGCTACAGTTCTGCGTGGGGCCCGTTCCCAAGGTGGGGAACACCAGCCCTGGGTCTCCAGGGATGCCTCCTCCTGGGCTGTGGGACATTCCCACTGAAGGATGTTCCATCCCTTCAGCTCCCTGTGCTTTCCCAAAGCCCACACTCCACGGGACAGGTTCTCCACGAGCTCAGGCCAGCTGCTGGAGGAATTCCAGTTCCTTTCTCTAAAGCTTTACCTGAGTTTTCAGCCCTGCTACCACCTGAGGACAGGGGAAGGTCTGAACACCTGGGAGCTCCAGGACTGTTCCCTGCTGGATAAACTCCAGGCATCTCTGCTGCTCTCCAAAGCAGGAGGGCTTTGGGACAGCTCAGGGACGTTTGGATCCCACACGGGAGCTCCTGGCACTCTCCCAGCCTGAGGACTGGATGCCACAGGAGCTGGGCACCAAGCCAGGATGCTGCAGAGGAGGATGCTGAGCCAGGGCCAGGGATTCCCAAAGGAAAGAGAGAAAGCTTCCAGAGTGCACAGCACTTTGCTAGATAACTGTGTTTTATAATTACATTAATTTGGGACTTTTTTTAGTCTTCATTTCCTCAGAAATGTTCCAAGAAGCTCTGGA